TCCTCACTCAACCCCGCCTCTGGTACGCCAATAGGCTCTGTTAGGCCAGCAAGATCCTGAAGCCGGAAATCTACTTCTTAGACGATGAACAAATGCAAAAGTGCTATTTAAGTGAAGCTTCACTTCAGCTTTTACCTCAAACGTCAATCGTCTAAATCAAAATGCGCTTCATTTACGGTGTTATGCCCCATAAGTATATCCATTACTACTGAATGGTCCAACATCCTCAATTCCAGTGGAATCATCTGCTTTTGAAAGTGGAATAAAAAGTGAATCAATCAGCTCATAATTCCAGCCTAGAAGAACATCACAAATAATGTAACATAATATTAGTTTGTGTCCCTTGCATCTAACCTACCAATAACGTGATACAAAAGGAAGAAACAAAAACAGAGGAAAAACGAAAGCATTTCATTGAAAATATTTTAGTTCATGTGAAAACCTACCACAGGCTGCAAGGGGTCAACACTGCGCAGATGTGCAAGGCGATTGTGAAGCTGCAACATATCGAAATACGAAAAGTGTCTGATTAGATCACAAATACTCATCAATTAGCATATCCATTAGATAGAATCGTCAAAAAGATACGTAGGCCAACTGTAGCATCATGGATCCTTAAATTTAATATAAAGGGGGAATATAGAAGGGGAAAAAGAAGATGGAGTCATCAAAATGATTTCAGCTTGATGGATTGGTTCTCAGCTCCCAAAAAAAAAAACTTGATGGATTGGTCCATTTAACCCACATATTTAACCCATGTGGGTTAAATGAGCCAACTCACGAGTTAGATGCATTGGCTCATTTAACTCACCGTGAATATTTTTTTAGTTTTTATTTTATTTTTCAGTGAATTAACAAGTCAACTTACCGAACTCACCTAGTAAGTTAGATTTTACTTATTTATATATTCATGAAAGTCGGGTTTTGATTTTTAAGGCACCAAATTAAGATGAGATAAAACCAACTTGTTCACCTCAAGACCCATGATAACTTAGCTCATTTAACACGTCTGATCAGCAAGATAAAGAGACTTCGGCAGCTGAAAACAAACTTTATCTTGGAATAGGGAGGCTCATGCCTTCTACTTACCAAAGCTGGCAAAGCCAAATATGAGGGTTTTTCTTTTTGCTTTTTTTCTCAAATCCTTCTCAACAATCAATATTCTTTCTAATGATCCATGTGACATTGAATTGATATTTCCATTAACACACACCCTCAAAGTGGATGAATTGCATGTGTGCGTGCGCGCACAGCACTCACGGAGTCAACTATTACCATATTTTGTAAGAATCAGTTAAAAAATGGATCAGTAAAAACTGATAGTAATGATCACGAAGGCATTCAACATCGCAAAACAAGGAAAGAAAAGGAATGCCTTTCCTTCCTTTCTACCAAGTGCGCTCAAACAAAATTGATCTGTATTCTTAATTAAAGTTTGAGGTGAAAATGCCAAAAGCTATTAATTTAATCAGTGCAATTTGGACAAATTACGGAATTATGCATGTCTGAGCAAATTAATGATGCAGGGAAGGAGAAACCAAGATGAATATCAAAAGAACAAAAAGTTTTGGTTTTCTTTTGTTTACAAATGAAAGTCCCAGTAAATGGGAAAAATAGTAAAAATCAAATTTACCACATCAAGCTCACCGAACTTACACTCCAAAGTTATATTTAAACCCTAAACGCCAATTTATAAACTCTAATCCCCTAAATCCTAATACGGTTACTAACAAAATCTAATTCCCTGATTCAATTGCAACAGAATTAATGCAGGTAGGAAATCACCACCATCACTTTGTCACGAATTGTAGCTCAATATCACATGCACGCGCATATAACCAAAACCAGAAAAGGAAATTTCCTTTCTATAATATAGTCACTTCTATCATTTGAATTAATTTCCCATCTTTAGAGTCTTGTACATCAGTATACACATTTCCACACATTACGACCAGATCAATTGTTTTCCACTCAAGTCATATCTAAATCGCCCAAGATATTCAGAGAGTATGTTATCAGGGCAAAGCATATATTGTAAGCATCACAAGTATTGGACAAACCATTTAAGAATAGGTGTCTCAGGCATACCTCAAGACTCAGCCTCCTTCTATAAGCAGCATTAGCAGGTGACCAAAAATATGATAAAGGTGATCATCATAGCTATCATCTTGATTCTCCAATCTTGCTTCTGATGTATAACATTCTGAGATATAGCATTACCAAATCAAAAGAAAATCAAACCCAATCACTCCGAAGTTACCAAAAAATTAAAAACTAGAGAACTAGAATCACTGTGACAGATGATAAGCTCTATGGAGACAATTCAAACAAATCAGAATTTACCAAGGACAAGCAACCTGAAGAAAAAGGGGAGTGATTCTAAGGGGGGGAAAAAAGAAGGAAAAAAGAAATAGAATCATAATCCAAGAATTAACGAAGATACCATAAAACCTAGGTAATTAAATCTACGTACCCAAATAATCATATTTAAAACCAAAAATGCCAATTTACAAACTCAAATTCCCTAATTATATCTGCAACAAGGAAATCAAGAATTAATGCAGTTTACTCATCATCACTCCACGCATTATATATATATATATATATATATATATATATATATATATATACACTCATCTTTGATTTTAATTTTCTAGAGTATTGCAAAATAGTATCTATCCACACATTACAACCTAATCATTTTAGTACTAAACAATAAACATTAAAGAAGGGGTGTATCAAGCATACCTCAGGCCTCAGCCTCATTCCATTTGGAGAATTAGCAAGACACCATGTAAAATTAGGGGCGGTGTGATTCTCAGATCTTGCTTCTGATGCATGCTGATTCTGGGATACAGCATTACCAAGTCCAACGGCAAAGCTCATTTCTTGTAGGACTGGTGAAGGGTCTGAATCTGCTGGGTTGTGAATATGCCTAGGGAAACCAGCAGTTGCAAGCACAGTATGATTCACAATTCTTGATGGTGTCAGCACATTACGATCAGCAAAACTGGACCCTGGGAACCAAGTAGGGGTATTTTCTGAATGAAGTACACCAGAAATAAAACGATGAAGGGGACAGGAAAAATCTCCATGGACATTTGCAGTTCCATCAACAAAATGCGAGTTTCTTGCATGAAGTGCCCAATTTCTCCTTTCAGTTTGCTGGTTAGGCATGATGTTTTCAGTTGTGTTTCTTGGGTAATGACAGGGTGCCACAGCCTCGCTTTCCAGTGCAGTATAGCCAGGCAAAAATGAAGAAAAACCACTACTTGATCTCATCATATGAATCCAGGGGGGAGCCTGTGAAGTTTCATGAAGATTAGGAACATGCTCATCAGGCTGCACCGAGGAAATCGGACAAATAGAACTTTCTGCAATCTGCAACCTGAAGAAAGGAGGATGATTGTCTTGGCCATACAAAAGTGACTGAGTGGGTACCAGGATATGAGCATTCCTCATGTAATCTGAGGACAAAATGTTGGTTGGTAAAAAAGCTTGTTGATTTCTGGCTGTATGATGATGAACATCACTTTGGAAATTTTCAGATAGTCCGGCTCTATTCAAATGCTGCATATCAGAACATGGCCTTATCGTACCATGACCAATAATGGTCTCAGGACTGTCTTGATGACTAACGGACTGGGTACAAGGAGTAGATATGTCTAGGCAATTGCTGCCATGGACTTCAAAAGCCCCCTGTTTGGGAATCCCAGTTTGGCAGCTGTGCTAGGAACTCTCACCCACTAACAATTCTCTGACAGTATGTTCAGAAGACTTTCCTTGCTTGCAGGATAAACGCCTCATATTCACTGAGCTGCTATCCAAACCCTGCTCATGCACTGTAGAACTTGATCTTCCATGATCATTTACTGGTGTATAAGAGTTGCTGGTAATTCTGATTTTCTGGTCCATATGAATGAAGGCCTAAACTCAGAGACATATTCAATTGTTGTAACAATTGTTCCGAGCATATTCTGCAACTGAGTCAACATTTTGAGGAGCAACACCAGCACTGCCACCAATGCTTGGAATACTATTATTACTTGCTTGACAATGGAGATCAATTGATCCAGACAGCCCATCTGGGCAACCATTTACAATTTCTGGTAGGGGAAGTTAAGAAGAAAAGCTCAATGCTTCAGAGACTCATGGGGAAAAACAGCAGCACACTGATCATTATTTGGAACAATATTTATACTCTCTATAGCTGACATGATTTGACCCCAAAACCTGATCAGGGAACCTTTGGTCACCTGCCGCAAGGGAACTTGCAGTAGGAAGCAATTCCAGTGCTCCAGTGGACTGATGATTGACCTTCTTTTGGTTATTAGCATTACAATTCGCGTGACTCATTCCTCCTGTCATAGCAAGGATATCATGAGTCAAGATAGTGACAGAAAATGTACCATGCATTATTCTTAATTAGCCCATGAAATCAGGTCGATTGTCAATCTTCATGTCCACAAGAAATTGGTGGTGATCAAGATTTAAAACAAACACACACGGAAGGAAAAAAAAGTAAGTGTTACCTTGATGGTTCATCATTGCCTATAGGTTAGCCCCTGAAGGCCAAATATCAGGGACAATCCCAAAAACGACCAGGCAGTGTGGCTAATTGTGGAGTTACTCAGGCTGCATGATGAGAACCAAGCAAATGAAGGCGAGAAATGAAACGAAATGTTTTCTTTTCTAACCACAATCAGAACATAATTCATAACTATGGGCATTACTCTTAAGAATTCTGCAATGGTGGATATGTAAGAAGTGGCAACCAAGACAGAAAAAGGCAAGTTACTAAATGGCACACAAATATTCATGAGACGTGGGGGATGTCAATAATGGAAATGGAAGATAATGCATTTCAAAGAAGAATGGCATAAATGCATTCAAATGAAACTGAGGTTCTAACGGAGGGATTAACCATCTCAACGTGAAAGCTAAATCACAATGCAAAATTATTGCATTAAATAAACTTATAAATAGACATCTCTCACGTAGAGAGAGCATGCTTGTTAAGCAATTAACCAAACAAGCAGATCGCAGCTTGTTTTCCGGTTACAGAGAGAGCAACTATTAATTGTAACTACCAATTGACTGGCAACCCATACATAAATTATTAAACTAGTAGACATTATATGAAAATAGTAGTATTAAATACAAGCGTGGAGCTCAAGAACAAGAGCTCAGCAAAAATTTAATTGCAATGAAGTCTAGCCCTAAAAGGCATGAATATTACTCTTAAGAAGAAAGGGTACTTATCCATAAGAGTTTTTGAAACCATACGCAAGATAAACATGATTACTACATTAATGAATATACAACAAAACAACTCTTTTCCGACCACTGCACCTGAAAATACAGCAATGGAAAATGGAAAATAGGCGGGTGAAATATTTATTAATTCAAACGTCATAAAGCAATATTACAAGTGGTACGCACAACTTCCAGACACTCAGGATGAACATTCACAACCGAAATATCTCAAGATATAACAGGAAACATGTTACCAGCTACAGTAACTGAAGTTGGCAAATGCCTATATGTAGTCATTCCCAACAACTCATGAAGGACGTACCTAACCCTAGACCAAAACATCATGCATAATCAATAAATGCCTACATTCTCCATCATTAATATTCAAAACTTACAAAAGAAGCAGCATAAATAACATCATATGCAAAACTAGAAGGCATGATGATAGATGAAACTAAAGTAGTAGTGAGCAAAATACGAGTAAAGAATGCATAATCAAAACTTAAGAGAGGAAAAATTATATATCATTGTCCAAAAAGACAGTCTAGACAGGTATAATATGCTAAAGCAATAAGTTCCATCCACAAATTTACTAGATCAGGAAAAAAAAAAATTGACAAATAACATGATAAGAAATAGCAAGGCGTATAATTAAGAAGTCAGATCAACAATCATCCAAGAGGAAAAATTCCTTAGTCACTCAATCCTGAAAAAAAAAATCGCCATTTCATAATCCATATAAGAAGCTTATATTCGTTCATGCAATGCATGAACAGAGGGATACGAGAATCTCAGACCAAAGAATGAGCATGCACTTAAACATGTCCATCTCCAATCTAAGCTTTGATAAAGACATATTGATAGGATCAACATTTTCTACAGAGAAAAAATATTTCAAAAAATCAAAGCTCACAAGTAAAATAGTTTAATTCTTGCAATTTCTTATCCACTCAGCCATATAATATAATCATATTATTTGCATAATACTGAGAGTTATCAAATATAAGATGTGAAGACAAGAATTTCTCATCAGTAAGATGTTTTTGGATTCTAGGTTCTATTCCTTCAGGCATCGTGTCTCAACATCCAGAACACTATATTATAATATTAATATGAAAAATGACAGCCACATGGGATAGTCGAAGTTAAGAATTTCACCAACATAAAGACGGTTTACAGAAACAAAAACACAAAAAATCAAAAGATATTGGATAATAAAAGAGAGAATGTTTTAGTTAAATCTTTGCTTCCAACAATCTATTCATAAAAAAGTACACCTGATTGGCTGTGATATATTCCTAAACAATATCAAAAGGTTTCATGATTGATTGGCATTTGAAGAAAGAAATGTGAAAATGATCATCTATATGACAAAGGGAATGATAAACTAAAAATGGATGGACAATTAGAAGTTCTATTTTCTCTCCCTTAAAAACGAGTAAGATCTGTTTAGCCCTTTTCAAAGTTTACATAGAAAAGAAAAAAGCACACAAAATCGTCAAGCTCTTTTAGAAATGAAATAATAACAATATCATGGTCAATCATCAAATTTATTGAGGGATGATACACCTTACACCCATTAAGTCTAGCATCCTGATCACAATTTAAGTAAATGAAGTTCAAAACAATAAAATTTTCCCACTGTTCAATAAAATTTGTTGCTCTCATATGAGAAGTACACATTAAAAGATCAAGTACACTTTATCATCATAAAGTTTACTCACCACACTTACAACTTCAGTACTCAAATCGTTCAAAACATCCCACTGATTAAACCGTTAGGTTGGTGCCGAGTTGAATAATTAAAAATGGAAGAGTAACACAAAACAAAACAAAAACCTAGAACAATCTCATAATTTTATAAGCTTTGGAATTGTGACTATGCTGTCGAATACTCACCGC